TCTAACTCAACGCACAACAACAACAGTACTATGAACAGTGCTACTTTGCTATGATAAAGCTCTGTTTCACATGTTGTTGTTGTGTACCATCGAGTCGGAACCTACTCATTCATAGTTGACCCACCAGTGGGTTTTCAGAGGCAGTTAATCAGATGGGAAGAGAGTGCCCATCTCTCTCCCGCACAGCACCTAGTGGATTTGAACTGTGTGTGTTATTGCAGCGTAGGTGTGTCAGAGTCAAGGAGATTGGCTCAGGACTGAGCAGGGGTGAGAGCTACTGTGCATAGTGTTTCTATGAGTTGTAGTCAATTCGACACATACCAACAACAAATTTGCTGTAGTCTATACTATTTAAAGAAACCTTAATTTTAGAAAAGGCATGAAATAGCCTACAATACAAGCAAAATCAACTTAGAGAAAATATTTCAATATCTAAATATAAATACTTGAATATAAAAATGACTCAGTTAAAATACATTACAAAGAGGTAGTATATTTTTAGTAATCACAGGAACTTGAATTTGCACATACAAACTAGAGACTAAAAATTATGCTAAACGTTTTTAATAACTTCTCATAATAATTTATAAAGTACTTTTAAAAGTAAATTAAAGGAATAATCAGACCATCATGTCCATGAAAAAGAATAATTACCTGACTGGAAAAAGACTCTAGAAATAATTGTTCGACATAAGGGGCAGGGAGTGTTAGCAGGATTGTCTTTGGCCAGAGTTCTTAGGCAGGGCTCACAGAAGATGTGGTGGCAAGGATAACACATGTATGGGTTGAAGTAGACGTCCAGACACACTGCACAGATGTAGCCTTCCTTGTCTTCTGTATATTCATTGTCATCATCTGTACTCATCTCATTATTCTGCAAAACAAAAGAAAAAAATTCTATGTTCAAGATGACATTTATTGTAAAAAAGTATTGGCTTCATATATTGTTGAAATGAATGAAAATATTTATGAGAACCACATAACACATATGTATGTCATATTAAAATGGATAGAAATGTATTTCTATGAGATAAGAAGAAATTGAAAACATGAAACCAGAAATAATTTTTCTTCTTCATAAACATTGATATTACCATGGTAAAATATGTGTACAATACTACATATATCTGTATTTTTAATCAATGCTAATTGAGTATTAATAAAAGTGATCTCAGCATTGTTGTT